TCGTCTGTGCGTCTGTATGTCTCCTCACGGCAGTTGACTTGATTGTTTATTGCGTCATCTTCCCAACCCCTTCTCCCTCCCTCCTCCCTCCCCACCCCACAGCACCCTCACTTCACTCCCCACCTTCAAACTCTCCACTTCCCTCATCCCCCATTCGCTGCTCTCCATCCTCTTCACAACCCCCCCCCCCCTGCAATCCCTTCACTTCCTTCCTTCCCAGTCCTCTCTACTCACTGCCCTCCTCCCTACCCCACTTCCCTCCCCACCCCACTTCCCTCCACCCTACCCCACTTCCCTCCTCCCTACCCCACTTCCCTCCTCCCTACCCCACCTCCTTCCCACTGCCCTCCTCCCTACCCCACTTCCTCCCCACCCCACTTCCCTCCTCCCTACCCCACTTCCCTCCTCCCTACCCCACCTCCTTCCCACTTCCCTCCTCTCCCACCCCACTTCCCTCCCCACCCCACTTCCCTCCACCCTACCCAACTTCCCTCCTCCCTACCCCACCTCCTTCCCACTTCCCTCCTCTCCCACCCCACTTCCCTCCCCACCCCACTTCCCTCCTCCCTACCCCACTTCCCTCCTCCCTACCCCACCTCCTTCCCACTTCCCTCCTCTCCCACCCCACTTCCCTCCCCACCCCACTTCCTCCACCCTACCCAACTTCCCTCCTCCCTACCCCACCTCCTTCCCACTTCCCTCCTCTCCCACCCCACTTCCCTCCCCACCCCACTTTCCCTCCACCCTACCCAACTTCCCTCCTCCCTACCCCACCTCCTCCCACTTCCCTCCTCTCCCACCCCACTTCCCTCCCCACCCCACTTCCCTCCTCCCTACCCCACTTCCCTTCTTCCCACCCACCTCCTCCCACCTCACTTCCCTCCTCCCTACCCCACCTCCTCCCCACTTCCCTCCTCTCCCACTCCCTCCCCACCCACTTCCCTCCTCCCTGCCCCCCCCCTCCTCCCCACTTCCCTCCTCTCCCACTCCCTCCCCACCCCACTTCCCTCCTCCCTACCCCCCCTCCTCTTCACTTCCTCCCTCCTTCCCACTCCCTCCCCACCCGCTTCCTCCTCCCTACCCCCCCTCCTCTTCACTTCCCTCCTCTCCCACTCCCTCCCACCCCACTTCCCTCCTCCCTAACCCCCCCTCCTCTTCACTTCCCACCTCTCCCACTCCCTCCCCACCCCACTTCCCTCCTCCCTACCCCCCCCTCCTCTTCACTTCCCTCCTCTCCACTTCCCTCCCCACCCCACTTCCCTCCTCCCTACCCCACCTCCTCTTCACTTCCCTCCTCCTACCCCACTTCCCTCCTCCCTACCCCACCTCCTTCCCACTTCCTCCTCTCCCACCCCACTTCCCTCCACCCTACCCAACTTCCCTCCTCCCTCCCCCCCCCACTTCCCTCCCCACCCCACTTCCCTCCACCCTACCCCACTTCCCTCCTCCCTCCCCACCCCACTTCCTCCTCCCTAACCCCACCTCCTTCCCACTGCCCTCCTCCCTACCCCACTTCCCTCCCCACCCCACTTCCCTCCACCCTACCCAACTTCCCTCCTCCTACCCCACCTCCTTCCACTTCCCTCCTCTCCCACCCCACTTCCCTCCCCACCCCACTTCCCTCCACCCTACCCCACTTCCCTCCTCCCTACCCCACCTCCTTCCCACTTCCCTCCTCTCCCACCCCACTTCCCTCCCCACCCCACTTCCCTCCTCCCTACCCCACTTCCCTCCTCCCTACCCCACCTCCTTCCCACTTCCCTCCTCTCCCACCCCACTTCCCTCCCCACCCCACTTCCCTCCACCCTACCCAACTTCCCTCCTCTCCCTACCCACCTCCTTCCCACTTCCCTCCTCTCCCACCCCACTTCCCTCCCCACCACCACTTCCCTCCACCCTACCAACTTCCCTCCTCCCTACCCCACCTCCTTCCCACTTCCTCCTCTCCCACCCCACTTTCCCTCCCCACCCCCACTTCCCTCCTCCCTACCCACTTCCCTTCTTCCCACCCACCTCCTCCCCACCTCACTTCCCTCCTCCCTACCCCACCTCCTCACACACTTCCTCCTCTCCCACTCCCTCCCAACCCCACTTCCCTCCTCCCTGCCCCCCCCTCCTCCCCACTTCCCTCCTCTCCCACTCCCTCCCCACCCCACTTCCCTCCTCCCTACCCCCCCTCCTCTTCACTTCCCTCCTCTCCCACTCCCTCCCCACCCCGCTTCCCTCCTCCCTACCCCCCCCTCCTCTTCACTTCCCTCCTCTCCCACTCCCTCCCCACCCCACTTCCCTCCTCCCTACCCCCCCTCCTCTTCACTTCCCACCTCTCCCACTCCCTCCCCACCCCACTTCCCTCCTCCCTACCCCCCCTCCTCTTCACTTCCCCTCCTCTCCCACTCCCTCCCCACCCCACTTCCCTCCTCCCTACCCCACCTCCTCTTCACTTCCCTCCTCTCCCACTCCCTCCCCACCCCACTTCCCTCCTCCCTACCCCCCCCTCCTC